TCCTCTGGTGGCATGTTTAATTTTCAAAAATTCAATCAGTCAAAATTTCACAGGATATGTGACAGATAAACAAAAGTTCAGTAAATGTGACCAGTTTCACAGCAAATACACAATACGTGCCAGTTCTGACTGAATTTTCTCAAATTTCACCAGGATACAGATTAGCAAATATAATACAGTTTACCAGTCATTAAACACAGTAGATTAACATCCAAATTTCTTCAGCATTTCTCCAATCCCGTGGTTAGCAAAGTTCAGGTTCACTTCTGTCAGAATTCAAATTTTTGTGGATCGTGAGAGTGCATGAAGCCGTCCGGTCTAAGCCCCTGGTAATTGGCCAATTCTATAGAGTTAATAAAACAGATTGATAATACAGTTGGTTCTTTTCTTAGTTTAAATTACTTAGCATCTAATTCACTACATTTACTTTTAGTTATATACTTTTTACTTTTTACTATTTACTTTTTACTATTTGAATTCATGACAACACTGGAGGCCATGACCGGAAGCATGGTTATTACAAAAAGTACGGATCAGATTAAACTTATAAAAATATAAGGAAACATTTTGGAACATGGACAGTCAATTCAATAGTCTCTTGCAGAACACCAGTTCTCGTCCGATAACTGAAGTTAAGCAACGTCGGGCTCGGTTAGTACTTGGATGGGTGACCGCCTGGGAACACCGAGTGCTGTAGACTCCCTTTTGCGCTGTAGACTCCATTTTGCTGGTATTTTCCCCTGTTTTGCGAGAAAGACCCGCCAGAAAAATTTCTATATAATGTCTACGGCCATACCACGTTGAAAGCATCAGTTGACTTCCGGTTTGGTTTTCATAGGAGAAAGACGTGTGTTGAATTCTCTATGTAAATCCGTTTGAATCCGTGAAATTCTTTTGAGGTTGGATACTCATATTATCTTTTGTGTATTTTGGATGACTTTCTGAACTATTTAAGGATATTATTTATTGGATATTATAGTGTATAAGTGATTTTTGGGCCTTTTGGCCCGGCTGCCTCAGCCGTGGACGGTGGACAGTTATCGTCAAGATGGCGGACGTTGACCTGTTGATTAAAAACAACACGGTGAAAGTGTTTGTTCACGATACTCGAAAATATCTTGCAAAGGAGATAATTGACTTAGTGGAGGAGAAACTTGGTGAGGATAGTGTACTGGCTTGTGTTCCTTGTAACGGTTCATATGATGTTACTCTTGTGCATAAGGATGTTGCATATAAATTGGTGGAGGACGGATTAATGGCAGACTGTAAAGAAGGTATGCATTGTAAATTTGTTGATTCGAGAATCAAGGTTGTTTCATTCATGCATATTCCTGTTTACATAAAGGATGAAGATATTTTGAAAAAATTGAAATCATGGGGTGTAAAAGTGGCCGGGCCTTTGATAAGGAAAACCGTTGATTTCAAAGGGAAAAAGAAATATGATGGCACCAGATATTTAAAGGTAGAGTTTCCTCCTAACGTGCCAGTTGCCGTATGCTACTATTT